GTTCCACAATACACCAGGATTTTGTGTCTCTGTGCCTCTGCCTGGGACTCCACAGTGGAATTCATCTCCACTCTCTTTGTATTACCATTGCCTCTTTTCAGACCACTGGCTCAGTGTTTGTTGCCTGATATTACACTTTGGTATTTGTAGTTATCTGGCTAAACTGAAACGCCCTTGAGAAGAGGGCCTGTTCGTTTTTTTTGAAATCTCCAGTGGCTAAATTAGCATCCAATACATAATGTATGCTTAAATGTTTGGTGAAGGAAGGAAGGAAGGAAGGAAGGGATGGCTGATGGAAGGGTAGATAAAATAAAATAAATAAAGGGCCCCGGTCCCCTCACATCAGCTTTATTAGTCCCGTCCTTTTATCCCCTTTGATGTCATGTGGGTCTCTTCCTTCCTTTTTCTCTGTTTCTTTTTCCTTATTTCTCCCTTGCTAACAGCTCATTTTTCTCACCAGCCATGATCTCCTTTTGTTTTCTCCACTCCTATCGCTCTCACCCCATTTTACTTTTGGCTTGATTTTCCCAACTTCCTTCCTTTGAACCTTTTTGTCCTCTCGTATGAGATTCCCTAGCATGTGTGTTCTCTTTCACTTCCTTTCTTCTCTCATACGGCGAGACTCATTGCCTTCAGTTACGCACCCATTTCCACCCTTTTGCTCAGTCTCCATCTCTTCTGAAATCCACCTCCTTAATTTCAGACTTCGGGTACTCAACTGGAGCCCTCGAAGAAGCATCTGGGAAGAGGCAAAGCCCAAGGAGATTGCCAACTTATATACCGTCACTGCCTTGGCCTGGAAACGGGATGGCTCACGACTCTGTGCGGTGCGTTTTACTAGTAATCCCTTTTCGCCTGGGTGACTTTCTCCAAACTAGGAAAAATCCGGCCTTAGCCTAAAGCACTCTCCCTGAAACTAGAGAATCTCCTCTTCCCTTTTGACTCCAACCTAAAAATATGACATTACAGGCAGGAAAGAGAAATTCGCACTTTATGGGAAGCCAAAAGAGACGAAGAATTCTGTAGGCAGGGCTGATTTCTCCCTTTCATCCCGTCACTATCCTTGAGTCCTGTGAGTGCCACCTCTTTCCATCTGGTACTTCCCAAAACTGCCAGCCCTTTGACTGCCAACTCTTTCGTAGATTCTAGAACTTGGGTTTCAAGGGTGTCTCNTGCCAACTCTTTCGTAGATTCTAGAACTTGGGTTTCAAGGGTGTCTCGAGATATCCTTCCGATGCCTGTTACCGTTTATGTTGTCGCTTTCCCTTCTAGGGCACACTCTGTGGTGGAGTGGAACAGTTTGATTGCTGCCTCCGGAGAAGCATTTACAAGAATAAGTTTGAGTTGACGTATGTGGGACCTAGCCAGGTAAGCAGCTGATAGCCTACTGCACCCAAATCTCCTTCTGGACACTGCCACAGTGCCAAATTTAACCCCTGGCAGAGCTGCTCTGGAGAACAGAGTGTATCAGGCAACCCTTTGGCAACTTTCCTTCTGTAGCCCTTCCAGCTTATTGTAAGAAAAGATTTAAACACCAAATTTAAGGGGTACAGAGATCGCCACTTTCAGCTTCCTGGTTTAAAACTTTACTACCTGGGGCGCCTGGATGGCTCAGTCTTACGTGTCGGACTCTTGATTTCAGCTCAGGCCATGATCTCAGGCTTGTGGGATCAAGCACCACATGGGGCTCCACGCTGGGCATGGAGTCTGTTGAAGATTCTCTCTTTCCCTCTCCCTCTGCCCCACCTGTGTCTCCATCCCTCTCTAATACAAAACAAACAAAACAAAACAAAACAGAAAAGGCTTTATTACCTATATGCTGTTAACTGGGGAGTTTAGGATTACGCAGGTGTATAACATTACTTTAGGGCCTCTGAACTCACCGTGTATGACACTACAAGGAAATTACTTAGTTCCTGAGCCCACTTTTCTGTTTTCTCTACCTCTGTCCTCTTTTTCTTCCATTTATCATTCATTGGTTCCTTCATTCTTTTTACCTTTTTTAAAAATTTTGTTCACTTATTTGACAGAGTGTCCACACAGGAGCAGGGCAAGGCCAGAGGGAGAGGGAGCACTCGGACGTGGGGCTGAATGTGGGGCCTGATCCCAAGACCCCAAGATCATGACCTGAACTGAAGGCAGATGCTTAATTTGCTGAGCTACCCAGTTGCCCCCCCTATCTTTTTGAGATTTTATTTTTAAATAACTCTACACCCCACTTGGGGCTCAAGCCCACAACTGAGATCAAGAGTTGCATGCCCCTCTGACTGAGCCAGCCAGGCACCCCTATTCTTTCATTTTCTGTCCATTCTCTATACATGAGCACTGTTAGGACAGAGAATACAAAGATAATTGTCTGTATTCTATTGTTCCTTTATCAAGATCATTCTAGCAAAGAGGTATATGAAATGACAGTATGATCAGTATACACCATGA